CTTACCTTCTGGACAAAATGATTTAACCATTCTTCTTCAGTTATTGTTCACTCTTGTATTGATCTTGTTAATTATTCGCTTATAACCCTGGTTGTATTTATTTGAGTGTGTGTGTTTGTGCACTGCTTACTTCGCATATCTCATGTTTGGCTCATTTTTATCTGACTATAAATGCTTAGTCATACCTGATTGCATTGAGTTGGCTCACTCACCTTCTTCACTTTGCTTGGCTCTGCTTCTACACTATTCATTCGCATGTCTATCTGCTTAAATGAATCCATGAAGTAAATTTATCCACAAAACCGCAAATAGCTTCTTATCACCGCTGTTGCACAAACGAGGTTCGCCTTAGTATGATAAACGGAAACTGAAGGGGCGATTTATTTCATAGCATAGTGTTGGGGACTGACTTGGAAAAGGTCCCAACTTTGTAATATATTTCTGAAATTTTCAATTTCTATTTTTTCGCGTCAAGAGACTCTTAGTTGACCTACAGCTTATATTTCGTACTGGGAAAACCCTTGACTGTCATTGGTTGATGTATTGTTTTAGTACACAATGTTTTGACTCTTCCAAGGGCGTTTCTGCCACTGTTGAAATAAGCTTGATTTGTGCGCTTAGCAACCTTGTGTTTTCTGGATGCTTGTACAATACGCTTTCTACGCCTTATCAAGACTTCTCACTCTAGTTAGCAGAGCCGGTGACAAACGGATTAGAATAGCCTATCTGTAGTGAAGGAGAACATAGGTGAGGGCAACCGAATTGTATTTAACGAAAATTACAGAGTTACTAAGTAAAATAGGAAAACCATATCGTAAACGGTTACTTTGCAAATCTTCAGTTCATCATCAATCCATTGTCTGACATTTCACTATTCATGCGTTTCATACAAATTCCATTGTTTTCGAACTCTTCCTTTCTTGATCTTCCCCCATCTTCTGCTGCCAGACATTACGTTTACACTCGCGTCATATACTACTTATAAGTAGCGCGCACCACCTGTCGTGTTACTGAGTCATCACTCTTCGTTCCGTTTACCGAGTAAGGTGAACACTTGTAATAGCATTCAAGCATATCAGTTAACGAGCATATCACATACTTCATTGTTCATTAATAAATCGGAGTCAGATCGCACGCCACTAAAATGGTGAGCCCTCCATCGGATTCAATGCAGCCAATAAACACTTCTGTTCATTTCATTTATATTCGTATTTCAATATTTTATTTAGTCTTTCAATGGATAATAGTATTCATTCTTGATTTCTTATGTTAACTGCCATTTAGAAAGATGTTTATGTTGAACATCTCTCTATATTTCAATAGTAATTCTTAATTTAATTTTATTGGCTGTCAGTATTTCCACAATGCACTTTTGTGTTCTGTTTTTAAGCTAAAACTGTATTTTGATTCAAAGAACTGACTGTCATTCCTGAATGTACTATAATCACCAGAATTGACAGAGGAAAACTTGAGACTCAAGTATTTCAGAAGCCAACCTACACATATCTACTTCTCAACTACGATAACAACAACCCAAGAACTCACAAAATCATCTGCATACAAACTTTGTTCAAGAGAGCGAAGACACACTGCAGCACATACAAAACATTAAAAAAACGAGGAAAAACACCTTGTGACTATCTCCCAGTAGAACGGCTATCCACTCAACTTCATCAAAAAACATCAACCAAAACCATCAACAGAAGCGAAATCAAGCACAAAAACAAATAAACGCATCATCCTACCATACATCAAAGACATATCGGAACATACAGAACGACTACTGAAACCATTTGGAATAGGTGTAGCACACAAACCAACAGAATCACTTCAATCAATCCTATGTAGACCAAAGGACAAAATGACAAAGGAAGACAAACCAAATATCATATACAAAATAAAATGCTCAGGTTATGAAAAACACTGTGTAGGACAAAGTGGACGTTCTCTTCAGCTTTGGTTGCGCAAACATCAATTGGCACTCATACGCCATGACAATTCTTCCCTTATGTCAATACACACCGACAATTATGGACATACAATCGATTGGAACAATGTTGAAATACTGCATAGAGGGAGGACAAAGAACGTCAGAGAATTGTTAGAAGCTTGGTACTCAGGTCAATCTGCATTCAACAAACACATCCACTTTGACCCAATTTATCAACCAATCAGAAAAATCATAGGCAAACATTGGATCAAGAAACAGATCAAAAGGGGAACACAATCAAAATAAAGGTGCAGACAACAACAGACTTAAAGTCAACAGCAACCAATCAACATCGAGGTCAACAGAATAAGCTACAGGTCATATGTGTGGAGAAATTCTAATACTTCAGTTTTTCTATCTGAAGTTTATGCTAATGATATTGTCTTCAGCAGAAGAACAATGAAAACTCCACAACCAAACCACATCCACAGCTCAGGGAACGAAACTCCATCACAATTCACCTATTCAAAATATGAAAGAGAAGCATTTAAAATGACTATTTAATCAGTCAGCTTTTATAAAAATTACTTTTAACATTCTAGAAAGTTATTCATTATGATATTTTCGTAATCTAACTGATTGCATGTTTGACTTAAGATCAGTTCCTGTGTTTCTCTGCAAAGCTTCTATCATGCTAGAGGTTACCTATAATTCAATCGGTATTGTTTGTTTCCTGTACATAATTTTACTCCTGGAAATAAAGATTGTTGCATACTCCTACCTTCTAATTATGTTTGTTGGTTTGACATTGTCAAATTGAGGAGATTTAATCAACCGGAATGAGTAGAGATAGTATATCAGATGTTAAGTGCGCTAGATATGTCGATTGTATGATGTTAATCAATCAAGGTATTTGTAGTGACGCTAACAGGTTGCTCTTAATAGGTATGAAACTGTTTAGCTGCGCGATGGCTTTTGAAAATAATTTAACACTATGCTTTAACAATTCCGAATTAAAATTTGAAACTAACTATCTTCAGATTTGAAAATTGACTACTATTTGTGAAAATATGGAATGTTTAATAAATAACTGACATGATATAATAGTACTGTTATTTACTCAGAAAGCTTGACAGTAAATTGAATTGATAGATAAGTATTCCCTCATTGCCCTTAATTGAAGATGTTTTGTTCTTTGAGCTGATTAGTTTAATTGAGAAGATTTCATTATCTGCCTTTACAACATCGTTTCTAAACGTCACTGGCTACATTAACTCTGAATTCCCTGGTACGGTCGAGAGTAATGAGATACCACTCTTTCTCCGAATTTTTTTTTACAGTCACATGTATATGCTCACTATCACAGGTGTTGTTAGTGAAATTAGGACGAAAAGCAGGTTCTCCGTGGAGGCCTGAGTTAGGTTATTGGGAATGGAGGATCCACATAGGAGAGTTAGAATACTCTGATTCCAAAATGATGATCACACGGGTTGCCGAAATCGGAATGAACACGTGTTTGGTCACGCCTACCATAGGATCGCATTACCTGACGTTACTTCAATGCTTTATAGATTATACCTGTAAGTCAAAGGCGCAGGGAAGGGTCTCCGAAGAAAACTGCCAGCTTCTTTTTGAGCAACCGGACACTGTCTCAACAATCGGACACGACTAGAAAGGCAGGCTGAAGGACAGAGTAGGTTGAAGAATACTGGTCAGCGACCTATGCTCCATTGAGGATTACAGGCTTAAGTATTAGCTTGAAGTTTCAATTTTCACTTTGATGCCGGATAACAGTTGTATTTATCGATTAAAATTAGTGAACAATAAAGACTTTTTCAACGTTTCATCCAATAGTTTTTTGTAAGAAGACATCCAAGACATCGTTGGGATTGAGATGGTGGAGAAAATTTGTAGCTGACGTGGATGATTGTGGTGGTGTTTCGTTCTCTGAACGTTCTCTGTGAACGTTGTGAATGAATGACTGACTGCTCAAAATCACATGCAATCAAAAAGTGGGATTGTATAACTGTTTTATCTTGGTGTTGAAATCTTCAATAGTTCTAACATAACCATTTCAAGAATCAGATGTCCGGTCTATGTGCCCTTGAAAAAGGAGCTAAAATGCGATCTTATTTCCTACCTCGTCAACTATATCTAGTCAACGACAACAGCGACAACATTTTTTCCTTCGATAAGACAATGAAAGCTTACTTACTAAACTAGTTATCTCAATAAACTTAATTACATAAATTAATCCTCAATTGTCAAAGGCAACTTTACACTGGTTTCCAGGAGAACCAAGGTGACTGTGTACGTGTTAACATTTCAACACGAACAGTTTGGCTTAATCCTGTAGTGCAACCACACAGGTGGTACCTGATACCCAGGTGAACAATGAAGAGTTTTTCAACATTTAATCCAATAGTTTTTTGTAAGAAGACATCCAAGACATTGTTGCGATTGAGATGGAGGAGAAAATTTGTAGCTCAGGTGGATGATTGTGGTGGCGGTGTTTCGTTCTCTGAGCTGTGAATGTGGTTTGGTTGTGGAGCTTTCATTGTTCTTCTGAACAGCAACATCAGCACAAACTTCAGGGAGACGAATTTCTCCACACACATGACCTGTAGCTTATTCTGTTGACCTCGATGTTGATTAGTTGCTGTTGACCTTAAACTTGTCGATGATTGTCTCCCTTTATAATAAGTTTCTTGATCCTATGTCACCTATGAGTTTCCTGACTGGTTGATATATTGGGTCAATATTGATGTGTTTGTTGGTCGCTGATTGACCTGAGTTGCAATCTTCTAAAATTATCTAGCCTACAATGCGCTCTCTCTATCCAATATTTCGACAATGTCCAAATCGAACATATGTCCATAATTGTTGGTGTGTATTGATCGTTTCACTGCTAACTGATGTTCACAACCAAAACACATCCAGCTCAGAGAATGAAACACCATCACATTCTCTCGGGAGTTAAACAGTTCTATTTTATAACTCAAACAGTTATATAGAACAACTCCAGATGTTATCCAAACAGAAAGGAAAAACAAGGAACAACCGAGTAATTTTTATGATTATTATCATTATTATTATGATCATGTCTAACTAGTGTATAACACCAAAAAAAAAATGATACTATACGAACATATCTTCCAAAAAAAGAAAAACAAATCAAATCACATTGTTAATCTGTATTGCCATGTACTTTCTTCCATTGGATAAATTGTTTCTCTGCATAACTATACGCTTTCGGTAGAAATGCTTGAGCAATTTTTGCCAGTAGTTGTGTTAATACAATATGAAAATGGATTCAGCATTAATTGACCAGAGATTAATGAATTCACTGCTAATACACCATAGGCAATCCAACCAAATAGATTATAGAGTAAAATGGAATTGTTCAACTTGGGTTGAATAAGAAACAAGAAACAGTATTTTTTTTAAAAAATTTGAGAAAATGCAAGTCAATAAAAGAAAATTTTATTAGGAATTAATGATAATAATAGGTGAAATCATTGGACAATTTTGGAATTCTTTGAGGCTTACACATTGAATCAGAACTTTGTAAAAAACAGACAGTCTGCTGCATTATGGGGTTGTTGTGAAGATTGTTAAGTTACACATTTTTTGAAACCATGAATAATCGATCAGTGTTAGACCACCATTACAAACCTGAAAGCACTGAAAGACGGCTGTTTCGTCCTGGTATGGGACTCATCAGCAGTGCGTATCCACGGCTCCTGCACCTCGCAGGACTCGAACCCAGGACCTTCGGTATTATGCGCGAACGCCTAACCACCTCTGGACCACTGAGCCGATATCTAACGGTATCAATGTCTAACTTGATCATATTCACGGAGTTGCGCAACCTCTTACACAGTCTTCGATAGTTACTGTCTACACCTGAACAGGTTGAACTTCATCATAGTGGCTCAGTGGTCCGATGGTTAGGCATTAGCGCACAACACCGAAAGTCCTGGGTTCGAATCCTGAGGGGTGCAGGAGCCGTGGATGCGCACTGCTGAGGAGTTCCATACCAGGATGAAACGGCCATCCAGTATGTCCAGATTTCTAATGTTAGTAAAACAATGATCGATTCATGATTTCAAAAAATGTGAAACAGACAGCCATCTGATTCGATGAGCATGATGAGTAAAAATTAGACAATTGTATCAAAGTACATTAATGTGTGCTTTTAACTACAGACATTTCAAAGTCTTTCCCAACCGCCACGTTAGATAAGTGAAACAACATTACAAGAGAACTTGATGCTCTTGATCATGGAGAAAACTTGTGGTCTCTGACAGATAACGTTATCGATTAAGGTAATATTCTTAGCGAAATAACACTTGTTGTTGCTCCATGGGATTGATCCATACTGTTCACGTTGTAGTGTTAACCTGGTTCCTCTGAAAACCAATGTAAAATTACCCTTGCTGGTTGAGGGTGAATTTATATATTTGTGAAACTTCGCCTGGATCATCCCAGGGGCTACTACCGGTCCCAAGTCCGAATAAAGGAGAAGGGTTATACGTGTGGTTAGCAACCTCATCCCATGGAAAACGAACTCACAGAAAAGTATTTTACATGAAAATAGTCTAAACAGTCCGAAGATGATTATACATTTACATTTTTCTTAATATCATTCAATCTCAAAGTTCACTTATTTGATTTTTAATACTACATTAATGACCTTCTGCAATTAAGTTGAACAGTATTATTTTTTAAACGAAAATAACAAGTGATTTTTTTAAGCTTTCCTTTATGTTGTAGTGCCTCCACAAATATTCCAGTTCGTTTGCATCTAATATGGTTAAGCCTTTTCGATTAATTTATTTGACCAAGCCATTTGTCTGGTTTGTATGAGCTCACATGACGTGTTCCACTTGTCATATGACCTTGTCAATTATTCGTCACTTTTATTCATGTGTGCCTATTTCGCTCGTCGCATGTTTGTCTTATATTTGTCTGACTATATATACTTAGTCACGCTCTCTCTTTGGAGTTGGCTCATTAGCCATTCTCCACATCGCTTCCTTTGCCCATTCGTTCTCATTGTAATCCAAGGAGTTGGCTCAACAACCTTCTCTAATTCACGTCGCTTGGTTCGTTTTATTTACTGCTTCACCGCTTTACCGCTTTGTGGTGTGTTCCAAATAAACGTATTCATCACTTTGTGTTCACCTTCTGATTTATAAACCGTCAGACGCTAGTCAGTAACGATTGTCTGGACGAGCTAATTATCGAGCTTAAGAACACACAATAAATCGGCACACTACAATGATACACTCAAATTTATTGTCATAAAAAATAAGTAGATTGTATACAGTTTTCATTTTCATAAAATAATACACATCTATGTTTGGAATTTCGAATTATTTCTCAACCATTTACTTAAGTATTCTCATCATTTACGCTGTTGTTAAGAAAAACATACAACGTAAGGATGGCAGATCGATTGGTGAAAGAGTGAAGGTTGGGGTTTGTGTTTTGCATGTCTAACCGCTGACTGTCTGGACGAGTGATAATGCCTGATCTAGGAGTAGGCTGGTAGAAAGCCAGAGGCGGCCAAACAGAAACATGGCACAAATCCCCGAAGTTACTGACAACTGGACTGAGTCATGTCGGTAAGTGTAGACTACCTAGTTTGGTTTAGAGAATCAATGGTAACCGATCATTAGAGATTTTGAATGACACGGATAAAAATCGTTTGCACAGTTGTCTCTCAAATTCTAATCTTCCGAATTCCTCATCACCCCTATCTTTCTCTTTCTAAATTTATTTCACTGAACTACACTTATAAATGATTACTTCGAACCCTTACCTTCAACATCATCGCTAATACTTCTACTAGCTCAACCCCTATGAGATTTTCACTAAAGACTATCAAATCAGTTCAATTTTGAAAATACGTTTACATACAGAATTTCACTAGTAGACAATTGCGGGTAGTTAGAAGTAAGCCTTGAACTTAGGTTTCTTGCTAGTTGATACTCATAAACAATAGTGGAGAAGATTCGTAGCTCAGGTGGACGATTGTGGTGGTGGTGTTTAGTTCTCTGAGCTAGATGTTTTGGTTGTGGAGCTTTCATTGTTCTTCTGCTGAGCAACATCATCAGCACAAACTTCAGACAGAAGTGAAGCATTCGAATTTCTCCACGTTTGACCTGTAGCTTGTTCTGCTAACCTCCACAACCAAAACACCCAGCTCAGATCGAGGTTAGCAGAACAAGCTACAGGTCAAACGTGGAGAAATTCGAATGCTTCACTTCTATCTGAAGTTTGTGCTGATGATGTTGTTCAGAAGAACAATGAAAGCTCCACAACCAAAACATCTAGCTCAGAGAACCAAACGCCACCACCACACTCATAAACAATAATTACCATCAGCTTTCAGAGAAACGGTGATTAGTATGGAACTTGAAGCCATGCTACTCACCTTACTAGTCTCAGAGATACTCATCGAGAATTTTAGGTTTGGACTTATATCTTTGAGAGTTGATTTCACTAGATTCTACTTCCTGAATAATATCTTCGAACACTAATCTTTTTGATTACTGCTAATATTTCTACTATGGGATCTGAAGTGACAATCGCATCTCCGTGCTAATGTGATATGACAACTTAAACTGATGTACGTACGTACGTACGAAATTCTACGTTGTGGCTGACTAACTGACTGACAGACATTACGCAACTCCGTGAATTGATCAAGTTAGACAATAACACCGTTAGATACCGGCTCAGTGGTCCGATGGTTAGGCTTTCGCACACAATACCAAAGGACCTGGGTTCGAATCCTACTGAGTGCAGCAGTCGTGGATGCGAATTGCTGATGAGTCCCACAGCAGGACGAAACAAGTGTTCAGTGCTTCTAGGTTTCTAATGGTGGTCTAATAATGATGGATTGATGATTTCAGTAAAACTAAACTAATAACTAGAAACAATTGCAAATAATGTTTTAACAGAACTCGTTTTAACATCACCTAACGTTGTTTTATTTTGTACAATGTAAGTAACCGTTTGACCCATTAAATTAACATTTTTTGTGTGATCATTCGATAAATTGTGTGAATATATTCTTTCTATTATCATTTTGTATCGAATTTCAATAATCCTGTTTATTTTCGATTGAATTTTTCAATCAAAATTGATAGTTAATTAACAAGTTACACTGAGTATGAGTTGAAATTGTTTCAATCTAAAACTAGTTACATTTTTAATTTTCAGCAATTTCATACCATTGTCTTATATTATAATTTTCAACTTTTAATATAATAACTATTTTAACCCTGCTATGGTTGTTCTTAAGAAATTTATTAGTATATTGCTCATCGCTCAAAATCACAGAGATATCCATTTGCTAATTAAAAGTCGAGTGTACTGTGCAGCAGTTCACTCCGTTCTCCTATATAGTTGTGAAACATGGCCGGTAAGAGTAGGAGATATTCGTAGGTTACTAGTATTCAATCATAGATGTCTCCGAAGCATTGCTCGTGTATCATGGGACAACCGAGTAAGCAGTGCTGCCATTGGGAAGCGAGTACTAGTTAAGGATGGCAGATCAGTAGATGAAGTATTGAAAATCCAGTAGTTGAGGTGGTTGGGATATGTGCTGTGTATGCCTAACCGCCGACTGCCTCGACAAGCTATGTTTTGTGGTGTAGGAATAGGCTGAAAGAAAGTTAGGGGCGACCAGACCAAAACATGGCAGAAATCCATGAAGTCATTGACGAGTGGACTTAGCCATGTCGGTAGTTGTCGACTAATTGGTTGGGGTCCGCGAGATGATAATAATCGATGGTTAGAGACCTTGAATGACATGGCTCAGAATCGTTTGCAATGGCGCAAGTGCATCCATTCGTTGTGCTCTCTCAAATCCTAGTCTTCTGGATTAGTCAACACCTCTACCTTTGTCTTTCTAAACTTATCCCAATGAATTATACTTCTTCAATAATATTTTGGAAGCCAAATCTTCTTTTTTACCAGTAGTACTTCTACTATCTCTAACACTAATGGGATTTGAATTGACATTTGCATCTCTGTGCTAATTTGGTATGGCAACATGAACTGATATACTCACGAACAAAGTTCTACGTTTTAACTAACTGACTGACTGACTGCTCAAAATCACATGGTGTTGAAATCTTCAATAGTTCTAACATAACCATTTCAAGAATCAGATGTCCGGTCTATGTGCCCTTGAAAAAGGAGCTAAAATGCGATCTTATTTCCTACCTCGTGAAATATATCAAGTCAACGACAACATTGACAATATTCTTTCCTTCGATAAGACAATGAAAGCTTCCTTATTAAACTAGTTATCTCAATAAACTTAATTACATAAATTACCCTCAATTGTCAAGGACAACTTTACACTGGTTTCCAGGAGAACCAAGGCGAC